TAAGTGTGTTGGAAACAAAATGTCCTGTCTGGTGTCCAGAGCTTAAAATAACAGACTGCTGGGTTCCTGCTGTCACACTGACACTTGACTCCAAGGTCTCTCCCCAGTACCAACCCCCCATGCCAGGGGGGAGAAGCCATGGGTGAATGGACAGACAAAGAAGGGGCAAGAGACAAGGAGATTAGTCATTCTCAGGCCATTCAAGCATTCTTTAACATCAGTTTGATTTTTCAGAAAGGTCAACTTCTTAAATTGTGAGAAATATTCTATGGAAACACTCCTCCCATCTCTAAAAACAGGGACAACATTTTCCAAGCAATGCTGCCTAAGGGCATATTTGAGGTTGTCCATAGACAGTCCGTTGACTGTATTGTGACTGTCACGGTGGTGTGCTAAATAATTTAAAGAGGCAGAGCAGCATTCATTTCTTTATGTGCATTTTTAAAGCCTGAGAAATAACAAAATAAGTCACTATGTGGCATCTGGGCATATTCATGTCTTGTCTGGTAGCCAGGTTGCTTGCAAAATCTGCAGAAAATCGAGAGTGACACTGGAGCTGGCTCACAAGCTTGTAAAATCCACCTCTTCCTCCTAGTGTTTCAGAGGGAAATGCCTCTCTCTCTCTCTCTCTCTCTCTCTCTCTCTCTTTTGCATGCCAGTGGTTCAGCAGACAACAAATTTTCCTTCTTTAGCTTTTGACGGGTCATTCGGGGAGTCTCCACCGTCTGTGATGCCTTCTGGCTCTCTGGAGATTGACTTGTCCCAAACATATTTTTGGAAACGCCACAGACGATTGTTTTTATTAGGGGACTGCAAAGCTTTGTAGTGGGATGCTTTGTGTTTTATTTGTTTTCCTTCCCCTGCCCCAGCTGTTTTTGTTTTAACAGCACTGGAGAGAAGGTTAAAGTATTTGTGGCCTCCGTTAACCTAGCCCATCTCTCAAGTTGGCAGAGCTAGAAATCTGAATGGGTAGAACGGCAATGTACAGGTCAGCTGCCTGGATGGGTTCATCCATATTTTATCCAGCCTCATGAGAGGGGTGAAGGGGACACTTGGGTTGATCTCAAGTTGAATGAGCACTTTGGAGCAGACAGCTGTCAGGGGAGCAGGTCACCCGCCACAAAATGTACTACCCAAGCACCCAAGCACTGATTAACTGCTGAGATGTAATCGTGCCAAACAAGAGGCCACGACATGTGCCCATTTTTTATTTTCCACATCTAACTGAGAAATAAGACAGAGGGCACGGCTCTTAACACAGAAATGCATGGCTTTGGGCTTGGACTGGCAATGGTGGCTATTTCTGAGATATCTGAGTCTCCGTGGCTATACCTTGTCAAAAAACAAAATTCATGCCTGGGTCCCATTTCCATAGATACTTATTTAATTGGTCTGGAGTGCAGTACGGGCATGGGATTTTTGCCAACCTGTCCAGATGATTCTGAGGTGCCATTGAGGTTACTTGGAACTACTTCCCTATGGAAAAAGGTAATTAACCTTTCAAACACCTGCTGCATGCCAGGCACAGTACTAAGCATGTTTCTACATTAACCCCTTTATTTCCACCTATCTTTCTGTGTGATAAGCTTATTTATCTGTATTTTACAGGTAAAACCAAGGTTTTAAGGCCTTAAATTGTCTAGGTGGAGTTTAGTTTTTTAGTCCATTTCACTCCAAAGCCTATTCCTTTTTCAGAGAACCCAGAATATAGCAAAATAAACACTCGTATAAACTCTCCAGAACCCTACATAAGAGATCAGCTCATTTACTTATTTATCTGAGCAGAGACCTTCCCTGTCTTCTGTGTGATATGTGAAAGAAGAACAAGAAATTTTGGAATTAGAGACTTTGAGTGTTAGGAAAGGAATATGGCTGCAATGCCCAATCTCCGTGCCACCCTGGCATGGCCATCTCTGTACAAAAAGACAAGTGCTAAAATTTCCTCCTTCTCTTACAAACACTCTTAAAGCAAGGATCTCAAAGCACAGCATAATTAATAAAATCACCCACATCCTGTCTAGATGAGTAGCATTTTATATATACAAATTCCTTTCTGCCCCCAGGCCCTACAAGAGTAGAATGTTTCCAATTTTAAAGAGTGAGCAACAGAGTAATTGAAAGGAGCTGTATCTTGGCCGATGCAAAGGACCTCAAAGGCATTAATAGTGATCTATATGAGAAAACATGGTGACCACGAAGTGTATCATAATGGCTTGTCAGCCATGCTGTGCTAAATGATTCAAAGATAGAAAAGACAGGGCAAGAAGAAAACATTGAATTCTTAAGAGTCAGCTACCCCTGGGATCAATATTCTGATCTACTCAGTCAACTCTCCAAACAATCTAGAAGCAGTAAAGTGATGACATTAGCTGATGATCCAGTTACTTGGGTTAATCAAGGCAAAGGGGACAGACGGGGCCAATTAAGTAGCTGGGCAGCCCAATGATAGATGAGTCATTATGGGCAAGCGCAAAGATAATGCCATTGGGAAAAGCAATTTAAGTCATTCATGCACTTCCAGGCCAGGAAATCCTTCTGGTCTTTGAGGGGGATCATTTAGGAATCATCAGACCCAGCCTGATGAAGTCATCTATTCATTGTGCAGCTAACAATCAACAAAAGAGCTAAACGTACAAGGCGACAGGCCATATGGAATACATTTTGGTGGCTGATGTATATCTCTGCCTTCATTTGAATCACCTTCATTAAAACAAGTCTTACTCCAGCCCCTCTTTTTCTTTTCATTCTTCTTCTACAATATCTCCCTACTTGTTATGCTGTCACCTCCCTAAACACGCAGTCTTGGATGTATAGATGAATTTTTTAAATAAAGACAAATTTAAATAAGTTTAAATAAATAAATAAACTGTGCACATACAAGTTTCCAAGAAACCCTTCAGCATGTTACAAAGCAATTCATCTTTAAGCACCAAGGAGGCTTTTTCTATGCAGCAAAAATTTAACATATGAGTTAAAGTAAACCATACTTGAAGCTACCTGTTCCTTTAAAACCAAAGGCCAAACCAGGGACCCCAAAATGAAGGTTACCAATGGTTGCCATGTTAACAAATTCGGTGAACACTAATTTATCTCCTGAGTTATCTTCTTCCTCTATGATTGCTGTTTTTGTCATCCTTTTAAGTTCATCCTCTTCCCAACCATGAAATGTTGGATTCTTCAATTCCTGTCCTTTTTTTCTCAATCTACCCATCGCTCCAGCCTTATCTTGCCCCACATTTAACCACATCTTACCTGGTTCTCAACTACTCTTTTCTTCTACAAACCACTAGACCATTGCACCTGTTTCCTGTACCTGAAATGCTGTCCTCTGATATTTTGCCTGTTAACATTTGTCCACCTTTCTGATCTCTGCTCACTCATCATTTATTGACTTTCTCAAATTTGATCCAATCTTTCTAATATGGGTTCTCATAACACCATATAGCATTCTCTACAGCACTTATTAGATTTGCAATTTTACATCCATTTTTAGATGTAATTTCAGTCTTCCCACTAGACTATAAGCTCTCCCCTGTTCCTCCATATGATGACAAACATGTAGCTTGAGGATGACTTCATTCTTATACTTCTTCTTCAGCAGATCTGAAAGACTGATGAGCCCAGGTTGTATTCCATAGCCAATATTCAAGGGGATGGAATGTTCCAATTGGCCATGTCTTGATCATGTGCTACCCTTGTAGCAAAGAGAAAAGTCAGGGCCAACTCTAACTGAACATCATGGACCTTTGGAGGAAGGATGCTGAACAGGAAATGCCCACTGTGAATCCTTTTGCCAAGACACAGTCTGAGGCCAACTCTCCAAGAAGGAACTGGAGAAACCTGATTAACATATTTATTGACATTTTTACCCATTTTCCACCAGGAGAGTTAAAGATACCAAGGATCGATGTCCAGAATATTGAAAAATTAGTAGAACAAGAGCTCTGATCAGTTTTAATGGACACCTGACCAATCATAATGGAGGTCAGCTATAGCAGCTGTTCCTGCTCAATAGCCACCTTGCATCAGATGCAAACACTGGAGTGATTTCCAGGGGACTTAAACATCCAGTTCTGTTCAATCTTCTGTATTGAGCACACACACTCTGGTTTTGGCTGTTTTGCTCATTTACTTCATAGAGTAGACATGTTTCTTCAGAACTCTTTCCACTCTTTAATTCCCTTTGTTCTCTCATATGTGTGATGTCCTCACTGGGACACACATGGAGGCCAGAGGCTTTTGAGCTGAAGCACCAATAACCTGGAAATGGACAGAGGTACCTTCCTTGACCTTCTGTTTGGAGCCCACACCATCATTTTTTGTGGTTGGGGAAAACAGAGGTCCCCTTCTTCCCTTCCCTCTATTCCCTTCCCTCTATTACTCTACTACTATCAAATGCCTCAGAAAACAGTTGTGGTCTCAGCTGGACCTATTTTTGTTCAGGGATGTGCAACCCCTTTAAGTTCAGGTTAGGTGAAATGCTCTTTGATTGGAGACTTAGATGAGAAACAACTTAATGGGTCAGCTCAAGTTGGCTAAAACAACTGGTGTGTGTGTGTGTGTGTGTGTGTGTGTGTGTGTGTGTGATTTCTTGTCACATTCCCTTTCCCTGAATTAATGTCTTTAAAGCACTTAGAACAGAATCCATACATGGTAGGTACCTAGTAAATGATAGTTCATTTCCTTCCTTCTTACTAGACACCCTTTTTGTCCCCTCATCACCCCACAGACTAGCCTACTTTTAGTTGCTAGCAGTACCTAATAACACAATTCCCCCCCCACCCACCCACCCATTGGATCCTGTCTTCCAGACTCAGGACAGTTCTCAGATATCAGTGCCCACACTTGCTCACCAAGAGATATTACCCACCCTATTTTGACCCCCTCCCAGCTAACGACGCAGGTCTGCAGAAAGACTTAGGAATGCTTGCCAAGTCAATCTGACCTTTGCTTCTCTCTTCCTGGTGGTATTGATGGATTTCATGCCTGTTTCCTTTCAGGGCTTCAGAGAGTACGGCAACTTGCAAAAAATACAAGATACTTCAGACAGAGACTGAACGAAATGGGATTCATTATCTATGGCAATGAGGAATCTCCCGTCGTTCCCCTGCTCCTTTACATGCCTGCTAAAGTAGCGTGAGTATTCAGTAGACTCTCAGAATAACAGTGGAGCCTCAGGGTGATCTGACAAAGACAGTGCTTCTGACTCTATGAGGCTCCTTCAGCACTGGCATTGCTTATGCACTTTGAATGGGGTGCCGAGTTCAGAATTCATTTGTATAGTTTCTTGGAAGCCCCTGGCCAACCCATCAGCAGGGCCTTTTCACAGGTCTTCTAAGAAGGGAATCAAGGGGCACATGGGTGGCTCAGCTGGTTGAGCATCCAACTCTTCTCTTGATTTCAGCTCAGCTCATGATCCCAGGGTCATGTAATTGAGCCCCACATCGGGCTCCACACTGAGCATAGACCCTGTTCAGGACTCTGTCTCTCTCCCTCTCACTCTCTCTCTTTCTCTCAAGTAAAAAACAAATTAAAAAAAAAAAAAAAAAAAAAAGGAACCATGTGCTAAGGCTCACCACTTTTGAGCTCTGTGAATTTGGGTGTCACCCGCTGGGTCTCAACTGTAAATTAAGGATGAACCTGTTCCTCCTTCTGCCCCATGATCTTTTTCAAGGAGAACTTCTGAAGACCATCTCTCCCAACATGTGAAAACAACATTACCAGGCTCTGTGCTTTCTCCACTGATTTTTCATGGCCATCCTCAGAAGAAGGCACCCTTATTTCAAGTGTGGGAGAAACTGAGGCTGATAACAATTAAATAGTTTGCCCAAACTCCTACAAGTTAAGCAGTAATAAAATCAAGAGACTACCAAGAGACAAACCCAAACTTGGGCTCATGCTCTGAACACCAAACTTTAAGCCTCCCCTATAAACCTGTGCGGAGTTGTTTCCCATTGATTACAGCTCTGAAATTGAGCATGAGAATAGCTGCATAAAGAGAAAAAAATGACTATTTCTCAATACGGCATAGACAATTTTATACATGAGCCATTCTCCAACCTGCCACACACTACCTCTGTTATTAAAAGGAACTTAATTAAAATCCTTTCTAAATGTAAAATATTTATTTGGGTGTCTGGCCATGTGCACGATAGAAAGTAATAGTCAACATATATTTATGAGATTCTACTGGTCCTGACTCTCCTGCAACATAACCCTATTGTTGGAATTTTTTTTTTTTTGACTCTCTAACAGTCTCAATAGATTGGCAGAGTATTTTAAGTATAGATAAGGGGCTCTGGGGCTATCAGTTGAGAACTCATGATGGTTAGGAATGAGTTATTAGTTTCTGAAAGATTGATTCTTCAGCATATGCTTTTGTGTCATTTCACCACAGCAAAATAACAAAACACACATATGAGTTCTTTAGTGTGCCACACCATTACCATCAGTGGGTCCTTTGTTCACAGATCTGGGTCAGGCTATGCATGTAGTGGGCAAGAAGACAGTGTGCTACAGAAACATCACACAGGATACTGCTCTGTACTTATGGCAGGGAGGAGGTATAACTGTGATTCAAAATAGCAGATAATCCCAAACCCTTTACCATCTGATTTCAGAAGGCACAAAAGAAAGCCTATGTTTAATCAGAGTGGTTGGCAAAATGGGGTGTTCTGGAAGTAAGATTCCACACTTAGCCCATGTCTATCTAATATTTTATCACTAGCTCAAATGAAGACACCAATTTGTTTTATTTTTGAGAGCCTCAAGTGCACAACACCGGAGGGAGGCAGTAGGGAGTGTAATGGATAGTTCTGACTTTGATGGTGGAGGTTGGAAATAGAATCTCAACATGCTGGAAAAATGAATCCATGTAATAAGAAGAGTTCACAAATAGTAAAAACAAATGCATTTAAATTCAATAATTCAACTTTGCGATAGCAAAGAGAGAGGGAGTACCTCTGCTCTTTTATATGTCGGGAATCCTAACTGGACAACAGCCAATATGAAAAATAAAAACAGGGTGTTACTTGTAAAAGTATGCTCCTTGGTGTATTGAGGAGTCTGGAATGAGAAAGGATTTGACCCTACCTCTTCCTACCTGGGGGATCTTGGACAAGTTGTGCAAACTTATGAAGCCCCAGTTTTCTCATTTTTAAAATGGGATGTAAGGGGCGCCTGGGTGGCGCAGTCGGTTAAGCGTCCGACTTCAGCCAGGTCACGATCTCGCGGTCCTTGAGTTCGAGCCCCGCATCAGGCTCTGGGCTGATGGCTCAGAGCCTGGAGCCTGGTTCCGATTCTGTGTCTCCCTCTCTCTCTGCCCCTCCCCCGTTCATGCTCTGTCTCTCTCTGTCCCAAAAATAAATAAACGTTGAAAAAAAAATTTTTAAATGGGATGTAATTGTGCCTATTTCATAAGGCCATTGTGAAGATTAAGCAAAATGAGGCCTATCAGAATAAAACATGTTGTTTCTTTTTTTTTTTTAATTTTTTTTTTTTTAACGTTTATTTATTTTTGAGACAGAGAGAGACAGATCATGAACGGGGGAGGGCCAGAGAGAGGGAGACACAGAATCCGAAACAGGCTCCAGGCTCTGAGCTGTCAGCACAGAGCCGGATACAGGGCTCGAACTCACGGACCGCGAGATAGTGACCTGAGCCGAAGTCGGCCACTCAACCGACTGAGCCACCCAGGCGCCCCTGTTGTTTCTTATACAGGAGCTGGCCATGTGCACGATGGTCTAGGTGGGAACTGTTATTAATAGTAGTATTAACTATCAATGTACATAAAGCATTTAATATAGTACTTGGTATACTATAATAACTTAATCAATGGTAGTTATTATTATTACTGCTACTTCTACTACTACGATTATTATTATTGTTATTAGTTTCAACTGAGTGCAAAAATGAATCACCATGGTTGCATGGCTCTCCAAAATAATTATTGCAATCTTTGGCTGCATTAATAAAAATAGACTTTCCAGGAAAATAGTAGGTAGATATCCTGCTATTGTCCGTATCATATATGCTATGTTAGACACCGGATGATGTGTCTATCTAATGCCTTCCAGTTTCACATGGTATTTATGGAGGAGATGATGTGGCTGAACACTGATTATATGCTGAGTAAAGACTCTTACATCAGCAATCACTCACCAAGGCTGGGATGCTTAGTCCTAGTTTACAAATGAGGACAGAGACCCACAAAAGTTAAACTGCTAAGAGTCACTCGGATTGTAGATAGTAGAGCCCAGAATTTTTTTTTTTAATTTTTTTGTTAACGTATATTTATTTTTGAGACAGAGAGAGACAGAGCATGAACAAGGGAGGGTCAGAGAGAGGGAGACACAGAATCTGAAACAGGCTCCAGGCTCTGAGCTGTCAGCACGGAGCCCGACGTGGGGCTCGAACTCACGGACCGTGAGATCATGACCTGAGCCGAAGTCGGCCGCTTAACTGACTGAGCCACCCAGGTGCCCTGAACCCAGAATTTAAAGCCAGTTCCATTGGCCTCCTACACCAGAGCTCTTTGCAGTGTATAGCACGGCCTCTGAAGCTTCAGTCCACGGAGGAAAACATGCACATCTCATTAAAGCAACACAGACTATAAGTTTAACTCTCTTTAATGTCATCTTTGGTGAATCAAAAGGCATCAATCACTGCAACGGAAAGAAAAATCGAATTGCTTGGGTTGTCTATGGAAACTTAGAACAGGTTAGTTACAAAAGGTAATATCGTGTATTGTTGGCAGGAGTTGCTGGCAAGGGCCTCCCTGCTGCCTGGCCTTGTTTCCTTCTCAAATACTTCTTCAATGGAAAGTTTATACATAGAAAAGCTTTTGAGACAAGGAGTTAATTGTAGAAGCCAGTGTATGAGCACTTGATCTTTCATTTGCTCATTTTAAACCCTTTGATTTTACTAAAGAATTGTGATTTCTCCACATTTCCACCAACTGCAGAATGAAAATAAAGTCTCTAGCCACATATCCTTTTGGGCAAAGTTTTGTTGCAGCTCTTACCACTGGAATCTTCTATGACGTTCAGTACAATGTGATTTCACCCATGAAACATTCACTCAGATAATCAAGAATGTATTTATTATTTGGTACAGAGTTTACCAAATAAACTTGGGCCTTGTGATACACTTGGAGGATGAGAGGATACAAGAGGTGGGGATGCTGTACATAATGCAGTGCTAATATTTTTATTATTATTATTATTATTATTATCCACATAGTTTGGTTTCTTGCAGCCCACACTGGCTTTAATTTGCTTTGGGGAGTACAAATCCAGAGGCTCATTATATAAAATGTTCAGGGCAATCAGACACATTAACTGGAGAAGGCCAGGTTTAGTAGTGTAAATTTTAAGCCCAAAAGTGCTCCAGGGAGGCCTCAGATTAGCCTAATGAATCAACAGTCATATATTTTGCTCTGCATTCTTTGGCAAAACTCGCTTCCTCTGGTACAAAGAGAAACATGCAGACAGTGAAAATGGTCTTTTGGGAGTCCCGAAAAGTAGCCTGAGATCATGGGTCAGGTAGTTTGTATTCTAGCAATAAAAGCCCTTGCCTTGTTTCTCAGATAATTATGAGCTCTCATCCTGTGTAGTTCCATGGGCAGCCTTCCATAGGGTGAACAAGAAAGAGAAAGAACAGACTCTGTTTTCAAGCTTTCTCAGAAAGCTTCGTCTCCTTGTTAATCTTCCCAGTCCAAATAGAAGGCGTATCTTGCCTTGCATAGGCCACAGGGCCAGAGAGGCAGTGTTCTCAGTAGGTCTTGCAATCTCCATCACTTTGTCTGATAACATGCATTCTGCATCAGGTAACCAAAAAGGCAGACAGCTCCATGGCAAGAGGAATGAATAAATGAACAGGCCCATTCTCCACGTCTGGTTCAAGAATCCTTCCTGAGTTATGACTGGAAGGTTTGTGTGGTGCTGTCAGCTTTCAGCCTAAAATAGGACACCAGAAACCTCTTAATGCTAAGAACAGATCTGAGGCATTTACCTTAATTGTGGGCAGAGATATTTCGTAATTAAGGTTTCCCACAGAGAGCAACAGAGCACAAAATGGGCAAAGATTCACTTGGGGGCACATGCCTTTTTGTCTGATGTTGGCTCTTAGCACAAAAAAATTGCAGACTTTGAGAGCTTGATATTCTAGAATTGTCACTGAGATTAGCTCTGTGAAAGAAGGAGGCTAGAAGAAGATAAGAGAAAGGAATCATAGTTTAGAAAGGTTTTACCCTGTGTCAAAAAGCATTGCAGTTATAGGACTTATATCCTACAGGCTGCATCTACGGACCAGCCACTCTGTGTATGCACATTTCTTTCCCTGTCTCCCTCCCCATTTCCCCTTGAACCCAGTCAATGGGTTTATTATCCCTGACCATACCTGGATGTATTTATTCACACAATAAAAAATGAGGAGACCCTTGCCGTTTTCCATGTCTGGTTTAATGAGGGCAAAAAATATATATCTTTGGCTCTGGAGTGAGAATACATACAGCTCAGGATTGGCTCCTGCAGACCCTCAGATCCTGGTTCTCAAATTCTTGTCACTAAGTACAGGCTTCTTGAAATTTCCGTATTCTGTTATTGGTATTAAATTTTTAAAACATACAACTTTGCACTTCATGTATGTTCTTTCTTTATGCAATTGCATTGTGTTAGCTTTGGGGTTTTTATTCCTAGAAACCCTTCAGACAAAGGATGCCAACTTGTTAAACCAGGGTTATATACATCAGCTTTTTTTGCTCTATGTCAGAGACTCAGTACTCACAATGCTCTAATGAATGTGCTGGACCCGATAATATACACACTCAGCCATGGGTGCCATGGAAGAACTGCCCCATTTCCTTGTCAATTATATGTGACAGAAGCTTAGTAACTTTAATCATTTTTACTTATTGATATAAAATAAGAAATGTCAACTAGCCATATTCTTTCTCCTGCCATGTAACTTTGTCATCTCTCAGTTAACCTCCTCTTTTACCTTTCCCATAGGGCTTTTGCAAGGCATCTATTAAATAGAAAAATCGGGGTGGTGGTCGTTGGATTTCCAGCTACTCCCCTCGCAGAAGCTCGGGCTCGGTTTTGTGTTTCAGCAGCACATACCCGGGAGATGCTAGACACAGTAAGTACACGACAGGCCAACAGAATCTCCAGCACTGGTGCCTTGCATTCTGAACACATTCATTTATTGAGCTAGCTTCGGTGTCCCTGGGTTTCTCTTGGTGGTGTAGAAAAACAACACTCATAAACTCACTGCTAAAAAAGCAAGGGTATGCCAACAACGTCCAACAATGTGATCAACTCAGGGGATAGAAAAGAAAATGAGTTTAGTGAAGACTTAACTCAAGTCAGTATTTGGCTTCATAAAACAGACTGAGTAGCCACATGTTATGCTATTTACTTGTTCTTAAATGCAAAAGCTAACCTGACGTGTTATTTCAGCATTAACTTCCCACAACCTGACATTTTTCGTAGCCACCAAGCCCATCATAATAAAATATGATCCAATGAAGCAACGTGTTGGAAAAACAATAACAAAGACAGATCTATCATATCATCCAGACCTACATGACGTGTAAACGATTTAAAAACCACATTTCATTGTCCTTTGGTTTTGATCTTTATGTGAATGAGTGATATCAGAAAACTAAGCCATCTTAATCAGTGTGGGGTTGATGGAACTGTCTCATAATGTCAATGCAGTTTAGCAAACACACTGACTGTCTAGTATGTGCAAAACCCTAGGGCAAAAACTCTAACAGGTGGTACTAATAAATAAGCAACTAGTGATAATATTGGACAAAATAAATTCATCTTGGAAAAGAAATATGGACAACTGTGGAAGCATGAAGGTAGAAATGATATATGAGATTACATGAATTCGTTCATTACATATGAATAAGTTATGTGCAAAGATGTGAATTAATTATGTGTATATGTGTAATATACATACACATATAATGACTCATAATATATAAAGATATATATGGATATGGATATTATATATATATTTTACAGGAGAGGTGACTTTTGAGCTAGGCCTTTTTTTTTTTAATGTTTATTTATTTTTGAGGGAGAGAGACAGAGCATGAGCAGGGGAGAGGCAGAGTGAGAGGGAGACACAGAGTCCAAAGCAGGCTCCAGGCTCTGCGCCGTCAACACAGAACCTGATGTGGGGCTCGAACTCATAAACTGTGAGATCATGACCTGAGTGAAAGTCAGACGCTTAACTGACTGAGCCACCCAGGCACCCCTGAGCTAAGGCTTTTTTAATAAAAGTTATGGAACATCATCCAAGGTTTCTGACCAAAGGAGTGACATAATCATGTTACTACAAAATAAATGTAACAAATTGATTGGAGAAGGAAAAGGCAAGATGAAGGGACCTAAAATGGAGCTGTTTGAAAAAAAAAAAAAAAAAAGAGATGACAAGATCAGAGCAGTGAGAAACAAAAGCGTATATAACTGAACGCGCTGTAGCATATTAAATGCAGACTGCAAGACTGGCAAATGATCACATGCAGGGAACATTTGGGAAGAGGGAATCAAAGATAATTCAAGGTCTCCAGACCTGGTGAATGGAAGGATGGTAAAGCTAAACCATTTATATGAGATAAGGTATCAATGAAAACACAAATCGATGCAGCCTAGGTGGCTGGTGGGGTGGCTCCGACTACCATTCAGGTCTGAACCGTCCTCATGGTCTGTGAGTTCTAACTTGGCTCGGGAGCTCTGTCACAACCGCTCAGAGCCTGGAGCCTGTTTCAGATTCTGTGTCTCCCTCTCTCTCTGCCCCTCCCCTGTTCATGCTCTGTCTCTCTCTGTCTTAAAAATAAATAAATGTTAAAAAAAATTAAAAACAAAAAGAACAGCAAATCATCAATGAGACTGGAGGAACAAAACAAGTTCAGTTTTAGACAGGTTGGGATTATATGTCTCTGGGCCACCTGTGGAAAAGAAAATCAGATTCTAAGCTTGGGAGCATATGCAATGCTGGAGCTTCTGTAGTTTAGGCAGCTGAGGGATCATGAAAGCAAAGGTAGAGGATATAATTGTCCAAACACAAGTGAACAGGCCAAGGACAGGCTCCGGCAGAGTGCCCATCTCCCAGCGTAGACACGGGAACCACAGGTGAGGAACGAGACTTCAGTGGGGCTAGAGGAGTCTGAAAAGACACAAACTAGTGTAGTGTTAAACACAGTAAGAAGGAAAAAGTTTCAGGGAGGGGAAGGATCAAAGTGTCTCCAAGAGATGGGAAGAAGCTATTGGATTAGCAATTAGCAGGAGCTCGATGTTCCTCCAAGCAGACAGGTTTAGGAGAATATAGGGGACAAAAATAAGAATACAACAAATAAAAAAGTGAATACTTTGAGCTCCAATAATAAACTACACACACATACACACAGAGTCTCCATGTCTTTCTGCTTCACCATTACATTCTTAGGACTTAAACCAATGTATACTCCAGAGTACATACATAATAACAACTTTCTGCATGGCACACTAATAACTGAGCAAATTCTAGGTCTTTGAGATGATGGGTGAACTTTGTTGTTGTTCTTTGTATCTTTCCATATTGCCCAGGTTCTCTAAAATGAGTTATTTCTAGTGATTAACTTTAACAAATTATTTATTTTTTTCAAAAAGTAGTCAAATATTTCAAGGAGTTTGACAGTAAAAGCAAAAAAAAAATAGGTTTAGAAAAAGCGCTTGAAAATTGGGAAATACTTGAGCATGTTTACACATTAAGGGAGGAAAAAAGTAAAGAGAGCAGCATTAAGCATGGTAGAGCAAAGGAAATGGCCAGGGAGAAGCTCCCAGAGATGACAGAAGGAGATGGGCAGCAGAGGTGGATTTGTATTTTTTGTGATCTCAGCAGCATTGAAACATTCATGAATGCCCAACTCTGTAGACATCAGACCTTGTGATTCTCTGTGCAAGTTCTTAATTCCTTTGGACTACCTGGTTTGGAAGGAGCACTGAGACATCATCTAGACAGATGCCTCTAAACTTTTGAAATCAGGCACCTACATCAATAAAAAATTGTGAGCATATTCCTCAATATACACATCAGGGAAAGTGAAAAATGACCCATGAACAGCCAGGGCATTAAGGTAACAACCGAACATTAACACTCACAGAAAATACATATTAGACAAGTCTCCTCCATGACCATGTTTGGAACAAGACAGAGTCGAAGCCACTTTACAAACACAAAATGCCTCAGAATTTCCTTCTTCTAACATGATTGCTGCTCCTTTACCAATCACCCCACCTTAGGCATCCTGCCCTCCACCTAAGAATTTGGCACATAGCCAATCACTGAATTTCTCCTGCTCCAGACAACATCCAACCCAGAACTGGTCCCTGCTTCCTTAGAGTCATCTGGAGCACAAGTCCAAATGTGATAAGGAGACCTTCCCAACTCCCTCTTCCTAAGATGGTTCTTCTGAAATACACACTCCCAGCTGCAGCAACTGGAATAAACCTACCTTCATTTGAGTACAGGTGTGCTCTGGGTAGTCTGATCAATGGGCTTCAACACAAATCCATTTATAAGTTATATATGCATTGTCAATATATTACGTACATTTTGTAGCAGACACAAAAATGGAAGCTAAAAAGGTTGAAATTAACCTGAATAGAAAAGCCTATGTTCTCCTCCCATACCTTCCAGGAATTGTCTTTCCTACCCCCGCCAGGTATGTAGATGCACGCCCTGTATTACTCCACCCTGCCTTCAGCAAAGAGCAACAGACACTATCCTAGTTGATGTCCTTTTAAATCCAACTTTTGTTACTTTGTCTTAGTGCTTAGATTTGCTGGAAAAATTTAGAAAGTACATTGAAGTAAAAAGAACATTTTAACCACCCGTAATGCTACCACCCAGAAATAGATGAGTCTTCACATGTTGGTGGGTACCTAACTTGATGCCAGTTTGAAAGACTTCCCAAAGAGGAAAATCCTTATGCTCCACTAATCATTCGTTCCAGTGTTAACAAACATCTTCCCTTTTTCAAAGCATTAGATCCTAATATCGTCTGTCTCAATGGACAGGGTAAGAAAGGCCTAAAAATGTTAAAAGGGCATATCCCCAGTACCATAAGATTAGTCATATATTAGATTTTGTCTGTCCTGGATCTTGGTTGTTTCTCGGGAAAACTGGGGATACATTTTCCTGCCTGAATGGAGAGAACTGAAATGGATGAGTTCTTGGTCCCTTAAGGTTTTAAGTTTGATGATTCCATGGAACACAGAAATGAGTGTTTAATAGCTGGGGTAGGGAAATTTGGGAGAGAGAAGAAGACACTAATCAGCTCCCACAGTGTTCCATTTTGCTCTTGGCCATTTATGTCATGAAGACATAACCCAGTTGTAACCTGCAACCTTAACTTTTTCTTCCACAAGGTTATATATAATTCATTAAATTTTAAAATAAGGCCTGAAAGGGTAAGCATGCATCAGATACTTTTATTCCTCTCTTCACACCCCCAAAATAAGTTAAATATTCATAATATGGGGTAGGCTGTTAAAGAATATGAAATAAAATGAATTAGCTTCTAAGATTCTTCTACACCTGGTTTGTAAATCACACCTTAATGATTTGGATCTTTCTCCTTTTCTTTAAAATCAAAGAAGATGGCAAAAGAAGATTGTATCTCTGAGGCTCTGGATTGCAGAGCCATTTAGGAGTTTAAAGAATAACTGATGGAAGGCAATCTCTTTGCAGGTTTTGGAAAACCTGGATGAAATGGGTGATCTCCTGCAACTGAAGTATTCCCGGCACAAGAAGTCAGCGCGCCCTGAACTCTATGATGAGACAAGCTTTGAACTGGACGATTAAGTCTCCTGGTCCCGAATTGCACCTAAAGACTTTGCCAGAAAGACCTCCCTCCCTGCCTCAAAAGGAACATAAATGGATTTCTCCCCCTTTCTAAGGACAATTTTGGTTTCTGAACCAGCTGAATTGAACTGAAGGAAATGTCATGTTTTTAATGTCTCCAATCTGGAACTGCAAAGACAAAAATATGGTTCCAGATTTTAATTTTTCTCCTCATCCAAGTATCCTGCTACAAACACATGCACACGCACGCATGCGCACACGTGCACATACACACACTCACACGTACACACACACACACACACACACACACACACACACACTTCCTAGAACATTTTTAATGGCAGTGAGCCTGTGTTTTAGCTGCTACTGTGCAGCCTCTTTGGTCCAGACTCTTTCAGGCATTCCAACCAAATGAGAGGGTTTTGATTTTTAATTCAGTAGATTCTCACTCCGTGTTTACTTATTTCATCTGCAGACATGAGCAGAGGTGGTGGGCAATAGCTGACCTCCTTGTTTCACCCATGAATGCCCCAGCTAGAACTCATCTGTATCATGGGAAGCTCCAGGCAGGAGGGTAAAGAAATATTGCTTCTACCATTTGCCACATTTGGACTTTTTCCAAGGACAAGTGTCAAAAGCCATAGTTAACGTTTGGAGGGAGAGAGCAGAATCGGCCAACAGTGACTAAAGACGTCTTTGAAGGAAACTTTCCTTTTCCTCTCGCTGGTTTCCTACAGTTTTACAGCTGAGCTTTTGAGATTTGGAAAATCCAAGACTTTTGTTTCATAAGGAAGGGGGCAGAAAGCAAACACAAGCCAATTTTAGGCCTAGACTAAAACTGTAATGTTATAGCAACTGGAAGGTTGTCTGTGCCATGTGGAGTGAATGTTTAGCTTGCGAACATAGCCCTTATTACTTTAAGGAATGAGTTGTCATTTTCCTATTAAATTTTGAGTAAATGGTGAGATTCAATTTCCTTTAGAGTTGACTCTCAAGACTATACTTGAATGTATTGATTCAAAAACAACATTTAAAAGCAACTTCTATTCAACTTTTTTAACACTGACACCCCCATTCAGACCTATTGAGTTCTTACTGTCTGCTGGCACACGAACTCCAATTCTGGTGTAAAGTAGGCTTATACACTATTGAGCGACTAATTGTAATTTACCTCCGTTCTCTCTCTGTCTCTTTCTCTCTGTCTCTGTTATGTCTGTCTGTCTTTCTCTCTTTCTAAATGTGAACACAAACTTATCTGGAATAGTACCCTTTTGCTAATTGGATCTAGTTGGTATGGAAAAAGCCAGTGGAAAACCTTATCTTTAACAAGCTCCCAGATGGCTCCCAGATTTGGAAACTCCAAAGAGCAATGGTGACCTTTTAGCAAAGCTTCTGTAATAGTTTGAATGAGTTACAGAACATTCCACTCCATCAAATGACAGTATAAACAAATCACTTCAAGAGAGGTTTGACTTGTGACACAGATGGACCCAAGCTTTCATGCTGTGCACCGAGAAAGAAACCCAGCCTGAAGCACCAGTGTTGGATACAGCAATATGCCCTGATGCTCACAACTTATTAAAGGATAAAGGTGATGCGTGTAGAGAGCTTTTTATGGGGAAAGTATAACCCCTACTAGGTACATCAGTTTAAAAGTGGATCGCAATGGTAAAGTTTCTCATAAACATTTGTTAGGATCACTCTTAGCAAAAGAGGAGAGGGAGTGGTTCTGAAAATGCAGTTGCCCCATCCCAGGACTAATATTGATAACTAAATTCCAACTTTTCCCAATGAATTGGCATAGGATTACTTATGCAAAGAAAATATATGTAGTATAAATGTCCCCAAAAAAGGAAGACATGTAGGTCTTCTCACTCGAGAATGTGCACTTAAGTGTGCCTGGGTGGCTCACTCAGTGAAGCGCCGACTTCGACTCAGGTAATGACCTTGTGGTTCATGAGTTTGAGCCCCGAGTCAGGCTCTGCACTGCCGGTGTGGAGCCTGCTTGGTATTCTCACTCTCTCCTCTCTCTCTGCTCCTCCCCTACTCATGCCTTCTCTCTCTCTCAAAATAAGGAAAGAAAGAAAGAAAGAAAGAAAGAAAGAAAGAAAGAAAGAAAGAAAGAAAGAAAATGTTCATTGAAACAAAATTGATTCTAGTTAATTATCCAAAATGCATAAGTGTGTTCAGTCCTATAGAGGGAACAATAGACAAAGAGGCCAGTGAAACATCTGGGCTTCACCTGAGGTACAGTAAGCAGTAAACATCCCCTTCCATTCTGGATGTCCATGACCTTCATACACATCTTCACACCCACGCTTTGAGTTTTAAGCTTATAAAGGGATGTCTTTGTGACCAGTGTGCCTTTTATGGAAGATCCGGAGTCTAAGTCGTGATAGGAAAATAATTACTTACCCACCCGGCCTGGGGAGCAAGGCGGACATTACTCCTACTCCTGTTTCATCAAGATCCTAGGGCAATTTATTACATTCTCAAGTGCAAGATTAAAAAAAAAAAAAAAAAAAAAAAAAAAAAAAAAAAAAAAACACTCTGTCAGAGGGTCTACACTGAATACACTTATGAGGACAACTAAATGCAATGCACATTAGGAGGGGCCCAGATCCCATAGGGCTGGTAATATAAGAGCACATGTCATATAGAGTGAAGTTGGTTAAGAGGGTGATTGTGAGAATTTTTAATTTTTATAAGAAAATATCTGCTAGGTTAATAAAAGCATAATTTCAAATCAATAGGGATTATTGAATCTCAGTAACTATACCACAGCCAAAATGTCCCTTTGGCCAGTTCTGTTGAGAAAGAGAATTTTCTAACAAAACTCTGTTATGCACCCCAACCTTCCCAAATGCATACACACACACACACACACACACACACACACACACACACACACACACTTTCCCCTTCCTTTACAGAGCAAGCAAGAGTATAAAGGTACAGAGATGAGAATCTGGCTTGCTGATAGATACATAGATAGATGGAAGATGTTCTAAAAATGGCCTTTAGTGAAACAGTAGATAAAGGATGCAGACTGATTTTGTAAGGGAAATACATTTGTGTAACGGAAATGGCATAGATACATTCCTAATCTTATTATGGAACTGTATTGTGGATGTTTGGCTACATTGCCTTTCAGCATGCTTTGGTTTGACAGACACCATGGGCTTCAGAATTTACTAGGAAGCTTGTTAAAATGCAGATCCCTGGGCCCCACGCCAGACTTAACTGAATTAGAATAGCTGTTGGTGCTCAGGAATTTACATTTTAGCAAGTCTCCTCAGGGGATTCTAATCCATGTCATAATTTGAGAACCATTGTTGGAGTTCTTGTTTTGACTGATCAGTTGTCTCTAATTAAACATAACAGAAACTTTGTCCTGAGTGTCTGTTGATAATTAAGGGTGCTTATACTACTAAAGTAAAGTGAATTATTCCAACCTTTTCTCCTCAATGGGACATATTGTTCCCATTTTCCAGGTACTTTCTTTTTCTACAAAATTGGATATTTGCCTCTGATTATTTATTTATTCCAACAACAGCTCTTGAATAGGGTAAAAGTCTTAACAGTTCTTCAAACATGCAATGCTCCTCTGTATTTTCTACAGAGATAGCAAATTTTATAAATGGCTTACTCTTACTTAAAATATTTGATAAGGAAACTTTAACTCTCTTAAATATGTACTTTGATTTACGGCAGTAATAACAATTATACTTTGAACTTATCTGGTGATCTCTTGGCCATTTTTCCTAGTCTCAGTATAAACAACTTATTTGAAGTCTGTTTTCTCAGAACACCCTATGTAGCTGTGTAATTTTAAGAAATTAAAAGGTGTCTGTATTTTAAATGTTTTGAAGCAATTATTATGGGACACTGTCTTACAGTATTGTGGGCTGTGTGTGTGTGTGTGTTTCACTGAAACACTTGAGGTGACCAATGTCATTTCATTCTGCCTATGAAATGTTAGTTTCTTTAATAGACAAATCACCAAAATAGACAATATAAAAAATAATTGATGGTTTTGTGTTAGTTTGGGTTACCCTAAATAAAGACTCAGAGATTTGCATTTAAGAATTCCATTAAGGAAAATTGGCAAGAGTGGTAGTGCTGACTTGAACTGTGTCAAAAGAACCAATTGTGCCCATCTGTTTCCACCTCCTCCTTCTGTGACGTCACCTTGGTAGCTTGAATTTGGCCATGTTGAAAGTATTTACACCATGGAAATTGGCAAACACTACAGATCAGGTACCTGGAGAGCCATCTATTAAACCTTTACCAGCACACCACTGAAACCACATACAATGGGACAATATCTAGGATGGAGCAAGGAAACAGGATTGGAAAAAGGAGAAGACTGATTTCATCGTAATAAAGGCCTCAGTCAATCCCATGGAGGGCTATGCAACAGAGATGGCCTGTTAGAGTTATCTCAAAATGAAGCAAAGGAGACAAGCCTCTATGTTCTTTCTGCCATCAACTAATCATGAGATACAAGTTACCAAGGTACAGGTGTGGGAGAGGGCATTACTTTGGGCAAGACAATTCTATTCAGCCAAAGGGAATTCTTAGGGAGGGACTCAGATTGGAACTGACAGAAGTCCATCCACTTTTTAAAAATTATTTCTAATCCATCTACTTTAAAAGGTTTTAAAATGGAAAATTTTCAACATACAATAAGAGAGAATAGTATAGAGAACCCACATGCACCTATCACCTAGCTTCAAACATTATCAGTTCATGGCCTTTCATCTATTTCCCCCCATTCACAGATTACTTTGAAGAAAGCCCCAAAATCATATGATTTCATCAGAGAATATTTCACTGAGTTTCTCTAAAAGGTAGTGATGTCTTTGTCCCTTAATTTGTTTCAATTTCATTGAAAGTAGTCTTTAGTATAACAAAGGCATTAACATGAATCAAATATTAATCTTTTCTTTCTCTATATCATACCCTGCGTGTGAATTTCCTGGATCAAGACTGGGAAT